AAGAAAAAAAAAAAAACCTCAAAAGGCATCTGGTTCAAATCACAAATGCCAAGTCTACAAATGAAAATAGTACCCCCAAACACTGACTGGACTGGAATTCTCCTGACATGTTGCTGCCTTGCTCCCCTCCAGGGGACAACAGGAATGTGCCACTCATAATCCTGAGATTCATAAAGACAAAAAGGTGCTATTGTACAAGACAATGCATAAAATGTCAACGACCAGGCACAGCCGGCAAGAATTGGCTCAAATCAATGTTACATCCAAAATCTGGTCTGCTACCAATGGAACACAGGTAAAATGCCAAAACAGAGGTGCCACACAACCCATGATGAACATACATCCCTACAAAATAGATTCCTGTGAATTACTCCTCCTCTTGCGTGTCCTTTGACTTAAAAAGCTTGGGCATAAACCATATGCTTGTCTGCTAGGATGTGTTTCTTCAGGAAAAAGTGAACCTAACAAGTAAAAGCGCTTCGATGATCAAAAAAGAGAGAGATTATCTGAAAAGAGATAATACANAAAAAGTGAACCTAACAAGTAAAAGCGCTTCGATGATCAAAAAAGAGAGATTATCTGAAAAGAGATTAATACGAGAAAACACTTGACAACCACACAGCATCACCACATTCCTTATTGCAGGAGGGACATTATCTAGCATGTGTCTAGTTTCGGATAGTATCACATGGTCAGATAAGGATTTTTTTTTTTTTCCCCCTGCTGCTTTCAAAACTACATTTTTGAGGTCTCGGAAACAAAGCTGCCGCCATCATTCCGAGGCGGGGTCAAAAGCTGTTCACCAGCACATTAAGGCCAAAGTTCTTTTTCTTCCCCGTTAATGAAGATGACACGGAATGACGGCGGCCCTGGCGGGACTCCAGCAGCACAGAGGCTCCCCGAGCAGGTTCCCTCGGCTCCCGCCGCCGCCGGTCGCGGCCAGCAGTACGTATAAAATGAGAGAGGAGGGGCACTTTTTCCAGCCAAATTTCCATCAGTTGCGTCTGTTTCAGCAGCTTGTACAAAGGGCTTCTATTTGAGATGCAGCAGCAGCGCGAGCGAACGCTGGCGCGGAGGGGAGCCCTGGGGGGGGAGCCCTGAGAGGGGAGCCCTGGGAGGGGAGCCCT